CATAAAAGTACTTGCTACATATTAGACAGTAAGTATTTGTTAAAGAAATAGGGAATAGAGCTAAACACTGGTGAGTCATCTTCACAGTGGCACTGATCAGAAGATGAGAACATATCCTCTACCTATTCAACATCTTTCAAGTGAAAGGGCAGACAGCATAGTTAGGTATCATGTTGCAAGAATCTTCAAAGCCAGAAGACATAAACAATATAAAGTGTTTCCCACTCCACTCTCCCATTCTCCCTTGCTCTCAGCTTTCTTCAGATGTTCCTACTTTTCCCATTTTCTCACTGTTAAATTCAGATTCTCTAACACAGTGTTGTAAATTAGAACTTTCTGTGATGATGGAAATGCAGCATTATCTGCACTGATCTGGTAGCCACCAGAATTACGCATTTCAAGTGCAACTGAGGAACAGAATTTCAATATTATTTCATTTTAATTGCCATGTGTGACTAGTGGCAACTGTATTGAACAGCTCAGCTTTAAATGGTCTAGTTCTGTTTCTAATAATAGCTGCTAAAATCACAGTGGCAGCATTGGTAAGTAAGGAAAATGAGTAGTAAGGGAGTCATTCCAGAGTTTTGTCATGAATTCTACTGTTTTTCAATTTTTATTGTGAAAAAATAGTAAAATTAATCTCCCATCTTAGTCAACAAAAGTACAAAGACCATGGCTATCATTCTAACCCAAAACTGAAGAAAAATCGAGTTATACAAGTCATTCTGCAGTTCATATCTAATAAAATGCATCTAATCAATTTGAAGCACCTAATTGCACCTATCAAAAGCACCTAAATGCACCTAAATTTTCACACCATTTAGCATCTCATGTTTTAGGCTTCATCTTGACTTTCTGTGAGTCATCAAAAACCGTTTTACATCTTAGAAATTCCTAGGGAAAAACTGAAGTTATCTGGGCAGTGGGAAAAGTATCAGTGTTCAATTAATAATATCCTCAACTGTTTAGCATAAGCGAATCATCCTAAGAATAAAAGCACTAGAATTGGATCTATTTATCACAGTTTAAATCACTATTACTGTGGCCAAGCAAGATAGCCATAACTAGAATTCTAGGATAGAACCTCCAGGTTTTTCTCCCTTTCCATGCCATCTTTCCAAATAATTCAAGATGTTTTAGAAAAAAAAAACAAAAACAAAAACCACGGCTTATAAATGTTTGAAGAGTCTTATCACCTAACATTCATTCCAAGTCTTATACCAATTTCTCTAAAACTTAAGTCAGTATGTGGCATTACTTTCTGTGTTAAAATTACCTACCCAAATCCCTCTTATCTTTTGATCGCTCAATTGTAGCACATCTTGTTCTGGAGAGCATATACTGTTTTTTCCTGTTTTAAAAATGTTCCAAAGAATTTAACGGTCACAAAATAAAAAGCATTACTATTAGATTTCAAATTGGGTGAAAGCCCTGTATGGTCATGTCTATGACAGAGTTTGCCATGACACAAAAACTTGGCAGAATCTCTCCTCTGACTGCTAATCACACCTATAATGCTCAATACCTGGCATTGTGTCCTGGTCTCATTTTCATTTGTGTTTTTGACAGCAAAACTCCAAAACAATTTTATTCTCAATTTATGCCAGGGACAAGAGGCACTCATTTGACAATCTATAATATTTGATCTGGACAAGATATCCAAATAATAAAAAAAGCTACCTAGAATGTTTGCTAATCATAGTACAAATGATTTGGGCTTTTTCCCAGAATTCAACAGAATTACAGTATGGAATGTAATCAAGTAATATAAAGACATCAGGTATATGACTTCTAAACTCTTTTTTATGCAGAGCACAAGCTTTCCCTGATATGTCTCCTTTCTTTCTCAAAAGTAAAAGGTAAAAAATACACCAAAAAGGCATATAATTGTCCAACTACTGAAAATATATTTACTTCTTCAATATTAAAGGAAGGCTCACAAATTGTTTTTCAAATCCAGTCACATAATTTAGTTTATCCTCTGACATACCAGGTATGCATAAACAAAAATTTCTCCATATGTCCCAAATATAACTTCCATGTGATATTAGTTTAAAAACCACATTTTTCTAGTCAGCAAAAAAAAAAAAAAAAAGTTTTATTCCTTCTGAAAGAAACAGTCTATTGTAAACAGTGATATTCCAGCTCATATCAACAGGAGGCATATGTATTTGGTATTAGAGATTTTTATTTCAGAAGACAGATGTTTTGTCAGCACTGCAACCAACAGATAATATACTGAAAGTTAGCATGACTTTGTTTCTGCTTTAGCCCTGGTTTTAAGAGATTTTATACCTAAAAAAGAAGAATGGAAAAAAATTGAAAATAAAAATCCCTGCCATATTTGAAAGAATTAAGTGAAACTGTGGTCAACCTTTAAATAACAATGTATTTCATACAAAATGGAGAAAGTGTTCAAAAAGGGTTTTTATATCTACAACAATCCCTTGAAAACTCTCACACTCTGATCTATTCTTCCACATTCCTACAGCAGTTAGGTAGATTTTTTTTAATAGAGACCTGCATTTGAATATATCTATTTGTAATTATTTTCTCTTTCCTTCCCACATGTTTTACCACACCTTCCAAGAATTAAAAATACAGGACTTCATTTCTGCTCAACAGTAACTGCACAGTCACTTAAAGAGTATTTTTTTAATACCTGCTGAAAAGCATGATATCTCCTCACTTTCTCAGTTTTAAACCATGTAACACTGTATTTGGACACTACTGGCAGGTATGTTTAATGGAAAAGTATTACTGTTACTCCATCAGTTAATTTTTTTTTTCCTGGTTTGATACTATCATAGTACAATCACCACATTAAATTCCTACAACTGTTTGCTGTCAATAATCTCAAACCAACTTTATGGACACACTATCCCAACTGGCATCCTGATTAGAGGGAAAGCACTTAATACATATTATGTATTATGTGTTTTATGGATAAAGAAACCACAACAGCAAGCAATTTACTCAATATGACAATCAGTTGAGATGACAACAGAAACTTCATTTCTCTACTTTCTATTTCAAGTGGAAAATAAAATTACTTCGTGAATATTTTTCAAGAGATCCACAAACACACAAAAAAAGTTGTAATTATCAGCAAATGAGACACACGCCTCCTGAAATCAGGTCGCCTTCTCCCTAAGGGAACCTATTCAAATTTTATTTGTCCTCCATAATATTTTCACTATTCCCTATTTAAAATCTTAAACAGGTGTAACCACGTGCCTTATGCAGTATTTTCTCACTTTGCACAGCAAATATTTTCTTTTGTGTAGGACACATACAATCCTAATTTCCCCCTTTTCTATAAATATACTATGTCATGTCACCAAGTATACCATCTATATTAAGAGTTCACAACTAACAACAATGATCTCTGTTTAGTCAATTTCCTATTTGCTTCACTTAAATCAGGAATATTTTAGGCAAAATTATCCTTTTCCCTTTTATCACCCATCTAGTTTCTTTTTCCCCTCGAGTCTTGGAACTTTGAAATATCCGAAATATTATTAAGTACTCATTTGTCTGATATTTATACCACTTCTCTTTCAACTTTTTGCAACAAACTTCTCAACTTCATTCCCTTTCATTGGTTTTGAAAGAGCTTTACTGCACATATTATCAAAAATAACTCAGTGAACATTTTTTGAGCACCAATAATGTTCAAGGAAATCATTTCAAAATAGCAGAGTGCTCATTAAGACAGAAGCATGCCCTGGATGCTGGAGAAGCACTTGGTCCTAGCTAGAGGCCAGGAAAAACATTCTCCAGCAAGCAGCTCTTTGGCTAAATCTTTCAAGACCACAACAAATTAGGCGAGGGAGGAAAAGGCCAGAGTGCATTCAAACAGAAGAAACAGCACATGTAAAGACAGAGAAATTAAATAGCACTCAGTACGAGAGAACTTCAAGCCATTCTGTATTATCACAGTGTTGAATGACAGGAGGAAAACAGTGGAAAATGAGGCTAGAAATGTGGATTGGGGTCAAGTCACAGTTTGCCTTGAACTTAGACACTAAGTAAACGGGCCTGTCTTAAAGATGCTACAAAAATTCTCCCATCACCCATTAACTGAGACAGGAATATTCTAGTTTTCTCTGACACAAGATCATCTGTGTAGCAAAAATACTAAGATTATCCTGAAAACTAAAAATTAAAATATTTTATCAATAAACATTAATAAACATCTACGTAAATGAGTTCTTTTCCAGTTGCTTCCTGACTTTGAGAATGTCTACAAACAAAATAAGAAATTCTCTCCAAATATATGTCAATAATCAAACTTCGTAAATCCATAATGCATAAAAGTAACTATTTTAATGTAGTACAATTATTAAACTATAATGAGACATGGAGGTAACTGAACATAGTTTGAAAAACTGTGTGCTACACAAGTATAAAGTATTCATATTATGAAGAAAAACTTAAGTCCCACATAGAATCTTCCACATGTATGTATTTGTGTGAATCTCCAGAACACTTTTTCCAAGTTTTCTTTTTTTTTTCCTTTTGGATGAAAGGCAATTTCATTACACATTAATAAACTTCTTCGCCAAAGCTTCGTTTGGAGGCAGGGAAAAGGAAAGGGAAATTTTATTAAATGGTAAACCTATCAGCAATTAGAAATAATACTTTAACCTCAGAAGTAATACTAAAGCCTCTACCAGCACTGAAAATCTATAAAATAACGGTGCCCATTAAAAATTCTAGTTCTTCCTTTTATGAATGTAACTGCAGCTATTCGATATTTCAAAGCAATAAATACTATATGAAATGCTCTATGAAAAACCATATAACTTACATAAAATCTTTTCCTTATAATCTGAAAAAGATAATATATGCTCTTTTCAACTACACTAAAAAGAACCAAGGTTAATAGAGTTCTTTATTGGTTCTTTACCTCTGCTTAAGCAACATTAATATATTATACCAACAAAAGTTTTTCAGTATGTTTCTATTAAAATAATAAGAAAAGAAAGAAAACTTACTTGTATCTGCCTGGCTTCCCACACTGATGTATCTATCATTGCCAGGAAGTGCTGTTTGGTAGTAAGTTGCCTCCTCCTGCTGAGGGGTCTTAGCATTCTTCGCAGTAAGGAAAGCCACTGCTAATTCCAAGTTTCCATTACTATCCTTCAAATATCAAGAAAAGAGTATCAAGTGTTTTGAAATAACTTTATACAATATCCTCCATAACACTCTAGAACAAAACTGCTTTAGATTTGCAATTAATCTATATGATTCTAATTTTATAGTGTAAATGCATCATACATATAGTATACTATACCAACAGTAATACCTTTTTTACTAATTAAAACTACTGCTACAATGTAAAAATCCATCTCTAATTTCTTAGTCTTCATTACTTTCCTATCTGCTTAATAAGAGTCAATCACAAACTTCTACTTTTGAACAAATAAACTAAAAAATGTCTTCTGGAACTTGCCATACGAAAGAGTGCAAAATGGGTATTTAAATTAGTACTTCTACAAACAAGGACAATAAAAGATATTCCTTTTAATCCGGGTGCTGGATATATACTTAGGGGCAAATTTCAGCAAAATGTCAAGGACTCACAGGAAGAAAATGGCAAAATGTACTGAAGGGCTTGATAATGTGGAACTATGGAGAGACACACAGAATTCTGGACAGAAATACTCAACACTGTCAAGATGACAATCCTGCTCAAATTAAACATATACATTTTACACAGTTCTCATCAAAAGCACAGCCGAATAAAAGTATTCTAAAGTTCATTTTGAAGAAAGCAGATGCCAGAATAAGAATTTTTAAAACAGCAAAATGAGAAGAGACGTGCCCAGTTACAACTTTATATTCTCTGCACAACTGACAAGTAAAACGCTAGCACTAAGACAGTTAACTGAAACAACACAGGAAACCCAGATATTCATAACGAAGCTATCTTTGTAACAGAAAACCAGACCATTAGCCAGGCAAGGGGCTCACGCCTGTAATCCCAGCACTTTGGGAGGCTGAGGTGAGCGGATCACAAAGTCAGGAGATCAAGACCATCCTGGCTAACACGGTGAAACCCCGTCTCTACTAAAAATACAAAAAATTAGCTGGGTGTGGTGGCAGCGCCTGTAGTCCCAGCAACTCGGGAGGCTGAGGCAGGAGAATGGCGTGAACCCAGGAGGCAGAGCTTGCAGTGAGCCAATATCGTGCCACTGCACTCCAGGCTGGGCGACAGAGCAAGACCCCGTCTCAAAGAAAAAGAAAAAAGAAAACCAGAACATGAAAGGTTCTGTAGGTTCCCTAAGAACTCAGACATGCACACGGGTGTAATAAGAAGCCAGTGGAGTGTTTTGAAAAGCAATGACACAGTATGAATTACATTTTAAAGTGTTTACTCTGACTATATATTAAGAACAGACTACAGGAGAGAAAGGGCAGAAGAGAGCGTCCAATATTATTGCTTTCTTATTAAATGTGGGATATGACAGAAGTAGGATCAGGATGATTCCAAAATTTAAGGACCGAGCAGCTGGCAGAATAAAGTCCCCAAGACCTACCCCAATTCTAGCAGTCAGTGACGAGAGGGGTAAGGGTGCAGTTTCAAAAGCACCACAGCTTTCAAGTATGCTATCCGTCATGATCATTAGACAATTCCTAAGTGACTCATCCAAAATGTAAGATACACTATGTTAAATAAGTAATCTAATAACAAAATAAATCTCAATGATGGCTAACATTTATTGAGCACTTACTATATGCCAAGAAATGTGCTGTTTTTCATATATTACCTCACATAATAATTTTAAAAAACAGCAGGAATTTACACAACTTGAAGTTCATTTACTTTTTAGAGCTAAAAACATGTTCTCAAATGAAAAGTACCAAAATTAATCAATGACGTTACGGTGCCCAAAAGTAGACTTCTTGTCAGTATTTATAATGGCCAACGATTAAGGTTTAAATACACTCTTTTCCCCCAGCTACTGGCAACTGAAACAAAAATTTTGGAAAATTAAAAATACCTATGCTTCACACAACCTACATCAAAGGAAATGTGGATAAGACTTCATTCGAGCTATATATTTTCTAAGATTTAAAAAAAAAAAAAAGCGAACTCCCCAATTTACCCTGGCAAGTTCATAGGCTATGGCCTCACACTCAGCAATACATAATGAAAAAGGCAGTTTCTGAAAACAAACATGGAATTTAGTAATGATATTTATCAGAATAAAAAGGGACTAGCAATTATCTAAATGTCATAATCTCTGCTTCCTCTCCAAATACTTACAGTGGCTTCATACACTGCGCGTTAATGCTCTAAACACGACTATTTCATGATTTTCCTGATGGGAGAATAAGGTGAAGCAAAGCTTCTAGTAAAAGAAGCATAAATTAAGTGTGGCACCCTGGGATCAGGCTGCCTTGGTTTCTATTCCAAGCTTCTCCACATACAGGCTGTGTGATCTTGGGCAAGTTACTTTAACCTCCCTGTTGCTCATCTTTTCAAAAGCGGGATGAAACTAATACTTATCTCATAGAGTTATTATTAGGATGAGTTAGCCCACATAAAAGTACTTAAAATACTGCCTGGTAGTACTAAATGTTTAAGTAGTACTACTTATTATTATAATGACTTTTATTATAATCATCTGATAGATTATTTCTAAAAATGAATAAAGAACTCTAGGCTTGAAATCGAGTTCCAAAGGATTGGAGCTGTGTATATAACTGCAATGGCAAAAATGCTATATTGTTTTTAGCCTATAGTAGTAATATGCAAATAAGCTTAAAATACTGTACAGTTCTGTTTCTTAAATAGCTTTCATTCACTCTTTTTCAATGTGAGTATCCATATGATATGACTCATTTGGATGTCTGTGTGAAAATGAAGGTCCAACTAAGATATGACCAAAGTGACACATTTTAGTTGTTGCCTGTACTGAAGAGTTTGAAATTGAACGTTTAACTTAGGGTGTCATTAGCTGAATGGGTACAAATTTATATCTCTGCTTCTCGGGAGAAGAAAAATGTAAGCTTTCAGCCTTCTATTAATTTTCTACTTTTCCCTTCTCTTACACCTCATCCTCTAATACACCCCACCTTGCACCCTCATTTAAACTCTAAAATCATAGCTCGTAAGTAAAACCATCCATTTGAATTAGGATTCACATCCCACTATTTTGCACAAAAAGCATTTCATATACAGAAAGAGATTATCTATCACTCTAAGATATCATGGACATCAGACTGCTGAAAGCTAACATGCTCAAAACTGCAGTTCGTTAACTGAGGATTTTACTTCACAAAGTCCATTCCTGTATCTCTAAAACTACCACATGGTATAACCAAAAACAAAAAACAAAAAACTTATCAAATATAATACACACTAGAGATGAGCATATAGCACAAACTGTGTATCATAAAACAGAGGTCATACCTTCAAGGCTTGCTGTAGTATCTGGGTGTCATTAATCCCAGTAATTTCTCTCAGTTGATTCAAAAACGTTTGCTGGTGCTAGAGGGAGGAAAAAACCAAAATCATTATATTCTCAACTCTGAAAATATACTAGGAAAAGAAAACAAATGACCTTTGGTTTTCCAAAACAAACGACCTTTGGTTTTCCAAAACAAACAAACAAAACAGAATAAACTAGAGTAAAAATGGAAAAAGAACTTGAGAAAGGCCAATTTCATTTTTTTAGAAAGAATGAATTATGCTGTGGAGAACCCTTACTTCATTCTCATGTTTCAAAAAAGTATCTTCTCTAATTACTCCCCAATAAGTCTTATTTAATTAGCAGTTTCTTTTTCTTCAACCCCTCATTTATGCCATCTAACAAGAAAAGGAGTCTTATCCACGATGGTTAAGCACAAAGAGAGAAACATCTTTAGAAAAGACATGTTTTGGCAAGACATAACTCAGTGGGTAATTATACCATGGAGATCCTCAGATCTACTTTAAAAAGAGGATCATTTCACTGTGCAATCAGTCATAAAAGATTCTAAATTGAACAGATCATTTGCCCCCATTTGCTTCAGTTCTTTATATGCTATTGGCCTACATAACTGATTACATATTACATTGTATTGGAGGGGAAAAGATGTAGAGACAGGATTTCACTATCAAACTCTTGGAGGGCCCCTACATAAAAACCAACTTCCTCCTTATATCTCTGTATTTCTTAAAGTTCCCAACACTATAAAAGAGTACCATGAAATAAATTAATCACAGTGGATATGATAGGAAAAGCAAACCTAGTCAACAGAATAGGATCTATTGAAATCTTTTTTAAAAAGATGTTTCACATTTATCTCAGTAATAATTCAGTCAGGAATCTTCAATGGATGCTAAAACTACTGAATGAAAAGTTTGATCGTGAACAGAATATTTACATCATTTAAAATTCTCTTCCACAAATTATAAAGGGAGGAAGAATGACTTTATTTTGTTAACAGCAGTGAACCCGTACAGGTCTAGAGCAAGCTCACTTCTTGCCTCTTCAGAAGCAAGAATTTGACCAAGGGGCATAAGGCAGAGAGAGAGAGACCAAGGCAAGTTTTTAGAGCAGGAGTGAAAGTCTGTTAAAAAGTTTTAGAGCAGGAATGAAAGGAAGTAAAGCACACTTGGAAGGGGGCCAAGCGGGCAACTTGAAAGATCCAGTGAACAGCTGACCTTTGACTTGGGGTTTTATACACTGGCATGCCTCCAGGGTTTGCATTTCTTCTCCCCTGATTCTTCCTATAGGGTGGCTGTCCACAGGCGCAGTGGCCTGCCAGCACTGGGGTGGGGCTGCACGCACAGTGTGTTTACTGAAATTGTGCCCGCGCTCACTTAAGGCATTTTTCCCTTACCAGTTGGGTGTTCCTAAAGGAAGGTCGTATGTCAGTTAAACTCCACCGTTTTGCCTCTTAGTGCATATATGCTTAAGCTCATTCACTCAAATCCTGGGACCTTATCAGGAAGCTGCTGATGACCAGTTTCAGGTGTTTCTATCTATTGGGAGACTGCCTTTCCCTGGTGCCCGCTGTGGCCAATTATTATTTTAGAGAGACGGTTAGTTAATAACAGCCTGACCACCACCTAATGGTTGCCTGACATTCCTGGGGGGGAGGCCCTCTTCTGCCCTGCTCACGTCTGACTAGCTACCTACTGTAACAACAGTGCAAAACCTGACAGCCACCACCTTAACCAAGAGATCAAAGTTAGTATTGCCAATCATGGGATACAACGGCAGTGTGTGCCTCCTGACACTCTATAATCTGTGATACAGCCCTGGTGAAAATGCACAACCTATATCTCATCTTGAGGAAGCATCACACAAACCCAAACTGAAGGACACTATGAAAAATAATTATTCTATCATCTTCAAAAATGTCTATGCCATAAAAAACAGGAGGAGTCTCCACCCTAAAGGAGACTAAAGAAGTATGTCAGCCAAAGGGGGAGCTGATTGCATCCCATACCAAATGTTATGCAGGATATTGTTGAGACAACTGGAGAAATATAAATATGCACAGCTTAGTAATGACATTTTATTAATATTAAATTCTTGAATTTGATAACTCCAGTATAGTAAGAGAGTATCTTTTTTATTAGGAAATATATCCCGAAGAATTTAATGGTAAAGGGGCATGATGCCTGCAACTTACTATCAAATGGTTTGGGGAGAAAAAAGTTATGGAAGTTCTGTGTACTAAGCCTTGCAACTTTAAATTTGAAATTTCAAAATAAAAAGTTTTAAAATGTCCTGCATTCAGCTTTGTTGACATCAAATTGTAAAATAAAATTTAAGATATTGCAGCCCAAATATCTTTTACAGAAATCATCTGTATTAGGTAGAAACTATATTCAGCTACTCATAACAGATTCCCAACTAAACAGCAGCTTCAATACTCTGGAGTGTCTTTCTTTTCTAACTTAGAAGACACAACGGGCAGTTCAGACCTAGTAAGGACACCCAACATGAAGTCTTTATGTGGACCACGCATCAGAATGTCTGTCACTGCATGGTCTCCTCCTCCACTATCCTGTCCAAGTTTTAGGTAGGATAAAGAGAAAGGTCAAGGACAAAAGGTGTCTCCCAAATGAATGAGACTTCTTTAACAAGCCCCACCTACAAACTTCCACTTATACAAGCCTCACAAAGCACACACATTCACATGGCCACTCATAGCTGCAAAGGAGATTGGGAAATGAATTTTTCGGGTGGGCAAAGGCTGCTGTGAAAATGAAATCAAGGTTCTGTTATCAAAAAGAAAAGATGTTCATTGGATAGGCATTGGCAGTGTCTGCCATGCCATCAAGGAATTTTCACTTCCATAAAATTTTTTTACAGAGCTGGGATAACCAAGATTATCCAACAATACAATACATAATAAAGTACACAAACAAAGTCATATAAAATGTCAGGAAGCTATCAAAATGGATGAATAAAAGAACTGCCAAATTTACAAAGCTGAAAGGAGAAAAATAAAATTATCTTAAACCTATCAGTTTTTATACCGTAAACCAAAAATAAAATTTGAAGCTTCAAGGCACTCTAAAATTTAACCCGAAAGACTAGTTCAGGCCATGACTGGAAGTAGGGGGTAGACATGTCTCATTATACCGCTCCAGCATTAACATAAACACAGACCTTAAGTCTGGTAAGAAACATTTTCAGTCTATTCTCTCTAAAGCCTGCAGCTTGAAGGCTTCATTTACATGATAAAACCCAGATCTCCAAAACCCCTTATTTTAACCCAGACATTCCTTTCTATTGATAATAACTCAACCAATTGCCAATCAGAATATGTTCAAATCTACTGATGACCTGGGAAGCCACCCTGGGACCAGACTTGTCCCTCACTTCCAGACTGAACCAATGTGAATCTTACATGAATTGACCGATACATTACGTCTCCTTAAAATGTCTAAAAGCAAGCTGTACCCCAACCACCTTGGACACACATTGTCAGGACCTCCTGAGGCTGTGTCACGGGTGTGTACTTAACCCTGCCAAAATAAACTTTCTAAATTGATTGAGACTTGTCTTAAGATACTTTTTGGTTTATACTACTTTCATTTAGAAAATTACCAATAAATAGCAATGGAATCATAACTAAGCTATGCAGTACCCAACATTATGAATTAAAGGCATAAAACTTTTACAGAAATTACCTTTATTCAATTCAGTGTCTTCATTTAGTTAATACAAAATTCTTTATAATTTTTTTAAGTCTGTAATCTCACTGCTACCAGCACTCCAAATCTGATTTCATACATAAAGTATTATTTTCCTCAACTGAAAATTATTCAACCACAGCTCAGAAAAAAATTACCGAGTACCCAAGGAAATTAGTCATTTGTACAAGTATTGATGGCCATTAATTATAAAAATTAAAAAATGGCTGTCCCCACCCAAATCTCATATTGAGTTGTAGCTCCCATAATCCTCATGTGTCATGGGAGGGACCTGGTAGAAGGTAATTGAATCATGGGGGCGGGTTTTTCCCATGCTGTTCTTGTGACAGTGAATAAGTGTTGTGAGATCTGACGGTTTTGTAAAGGAAAGTTCCCCTGCACATGCTCTCTTGCCTGCCACCATGTAAGATGCGCCACTGCTTCTCCTTTCCCTCCTGCCACGATTGTCAGCCCTCTGACAATGTGGAATTGTGAGTCCATTAAACACTTTTTTCTTTATAAATTACCCAGTCTCAGGTATGTCTTCATTAGTTGCATGAGAACAGACTAATACACTGGGTAATTTATAAAGGAAAAAGGTTTAATGGAATCATGGTTCCACATGACTGAGGCCTCACAATCACGGCTAAAGGTGAAGGAGGAGCAAGGGCACATCTTACGTGGGGGCAGGCAAGAGAGCATCTTCAGGGGAACTGCTCTTTATAAAATCATCAGATCTTGTGACACTTATTCACTATCATGAGAACAGGACGGGGGAAACTGCCCCCATGATTCAGTTATTTCCATCTGGTCTCTCCCACAAACATGGGGATTATGGGAACTACAATTTAAGATGAGATTTGGGTGGGGACCCAAAGCCTAACCATATCACCCAGTCTCGGGTATGTCCTTACAGCAATGTGAGAACAGACTAATACAAACACATGTCCTTCCACTAAGAAAGCAGTTCTCAAACTTTAATGTACAGAAGGATGACTCCATGAGTTTGTTAATAATGATGTCCAGGCCTCATCCCCAGGGATTGATTCTAGAGGGTCTGGGTTGAGGTCTAAGGATCTGCATTTCAATAAGCACTTCAAATGATTTTGATGCAGATCAACTTAGAAGCAGAGTCTGAGTTAAACATACAACTATTGTTTTTAAGTGAAAAATATATAATCTATTCAGAAGTTTTCCTTACAAAATCATATTAAGCTAAAGCAGAATACAAAATAGTATATATACAAATTAACGACTACAAGGTAAAATACAAACACAAATATAAATCCCAGAAAAGATTACACTGCCTATGCTAGACTCCCAATTCTCCCATCCCTGTATCCATACTCTTT